GAGTTCCCTTGTGTGTAATTGTTTGCTCTTGCTGCTTTTAATATTCTCTTTATTGCAAGTTCTGTCATTTTAATTATATGTCATGGTGTGGACTTTTTTTGGTTCATCGTGTTTGGGGATTTTTGTGTTTTCTGAACCTGAATGTGTTCCCAGATTAGGGATATTTTCAGCGATTACTTCTTTAAATAAGTTTTCTGCCCCTTTCTGTCTCTCTTTTTCTTCTGAGATCCCTATAGTACTATGTTATTGTGCTTCATGATGTTATAGAGGTCCCTTAACCTATTCTTACTTGTTATTTTTTTCTTTTTGCTATTTAGGTTGGTTGTTTTCCATTACACTGTCTTCCAGATCACGGATCCATTTTTCTGCATTCTGTAATCTGCTGTTGATTCCCTCTCGTGTATTTGTTCTTTCAGTTATTGTATTCTTCAACTCTCATTGATTATTTTTTATATTTTCTATCTCTTTGTTGAAGTTGTGAATTCATCTATTCCTCTGTCTCAAGTCTAGTTGGGTATCTTTATAATTGTTACTTTGGTCTTTTTATTAGGCATATTCCTTATCTCTATTTTGTTTAGTTCTTTTTCTGTAATTTTTGTCTTGTTCTTTCCTTATGGACATATTCTTCAGTCTCCTTATTTTTTTCTCACTCTCTGTATCTGTTTCTGTGTATCAGGTAGGTATGTCTCCTGATCTCTAAAGTAGTATCCTTGTGTAAAAGAGGTCCTGTGGTGCCCTGTAGCACAATCCCTTCTTGTCACCAGACCACATGCTCCAGGGGTGTCCCCTGTGTGGACTGTGTGTGTCCTCATTTTGTGGCTAGGCCACAATTTCTGTGGGCATCCTGATGGGTTGGGCTGGCCCTTAGCTCAGTGGGCTCCATGTCCTGCTTCATTTGCCGCAGGCACAGTGGGCAGTGTACTGTCCTGTTGAAAGGCCTGGCTGCGGCTGCCATGGGCTTGCTGGTAGGTAGCCTGGTTGTTTCCAGTTAGTCGTTGCGACAGCTGAAGGGGGCAGGGTTTGTTCCCCATGCAGGCAGTAAGAGGCCTGGCTGGCAGGAATTGAACACAGGCTGGTGTGTGGGACTATCTCCCTCACTCCCCGTGGCAGGAATTGCTTTGGAGGGGTGCCTACCAAGTCAGGTGGGTTGGGTGGGACAGGTCCACGGGGCAACACTGAGGCAAGGCACATGCTACTAGCAAGGTAGATGAAGAGTGTGTTAGAACAGGCTCCGTCAAGAGTCTGGCCGTCTAGGCTTGGGGAGGGCAAGAAAAATGGCACCACCATCACGTTTGTTCCCAGGGAAGTTTCCTGAAGATTCCTGTCTTTCTGGCACACGTCCTCAGCTTCGTCCATACATATCTTTCTCACATATGCCCCAGGTGCTTTTCCAACTGCTGCTTTTGTGCTGTGTCTGTGGTGAGTTACTTAGCATGCTGGGTCTCAGGTTTTTTAACCTCTGGCTGTCTCAGAGTTTAAAATCAGCACCACTCATTTTCAAAGCCAGATCTTGTGGGGACTCCTTTTCCCAGTGTGGGTCTGGGAAGGAGTCCAGTCTGGGAGTCTGATCTTCTTGCTCCTCTGTGCTTGTGATATCTTTCTTGTTTTTGGTTAGTTGAGCCAGGGGTTTGATTACTGACTGTGTTTCCACCCACCCTACCCTTTTTGATGTGGCCTTATTTCTACAACCAGCTGTGGGAGATCTGTTCTGCCAGGCTTCAGGTCATTTTCAGGGTTAGTTGCCATACATGTAGTTGTTGCCTCTGTGCATCCTTGGGGTGAGGTGAGCTCAGGATCCTGCCACTCCACCATCTTCCCTGCATTCCTCCTCTTTGATTTCTTTCGCCTCCTTGGCTAAATTTATTCCTAAGTATTTTATTGTTTTTGATACTGTTGTTGATGGGATTGCTTTCTTTCTTTTTCACATAACTTGCTGTTAGTATAGAAATGCAACTGATTTTTAAATGTTAATTTTGTATCCTGCAACTTTACTGAATTTGCTGATTAGATCTAATAGTTTTTGTGTGTGTGTGTGTGTGTGTGGAGTTTTTAGGATTTTCTACATACAAAATCCTATTGTCTGCAATTGGATACAGTTTTACTTGTTCTTTTCCAATTCTGAGAACCTTTTCTTTTTCTTGCCTAATTGATTGGCTAGGACTTGAAGCATTATGTTGAATAGGAGACATCCTTGTCTTATTCCTGAACTTAGAGGAAAGGCTTTCAGTCTTTCATGGTAACTGTGGGTTTAGCATATATATAGCCTTTATTATGTTAAGGTATGTTCCTTCCCTACCTAATTTGTTAAGAGCTTTTATCATGAACCAATGTGGAAATTTGTCAAATGCTTTTTCTGCGTCTGTTGAAACGATTATATGATTTTTCTGTCATTCTGTTAGTGTCATGTATCACATTGAGTTGTGTATGTCAAACCATCCTTGCATCCCAGGGATAAATTCCACTTAATCATGGTGAATGATCTTTTTAATGTGCTGCTGAATTTGGTTTGCAAGTATTTTATTGAGAAATTTTACATCCATAGTTATCAGGAATATTGGCCTGTAGTTTCTGGTAGTGTCCTTTTCTAGCTTTGATAACAGACCAGATTGGGTGTGTTCAGGGTGGTATGGCTGTAGAGTCTGGCTTTGGTATCAGGATAGTGCTGGCTTCGTAAAATGAGTTTGGGAGTGTTCCCTCCTGTTCAGTTTTTTGGAGGAGTTTAAGAAGGATTGGCAGTAATTCTTCTTTGAATGTTTGGTAAAATTCACCTGTGATGCCATCTGGTGCTGGCCTTTTCTTTGTTGGGACATTTATTATTGCTGATTGAATCTCCTTAGTAGTAATTGGTGTGTTCAGATTTTCTGTTTCTTCCTCAGTCTTGGTGGGGCATATGTTTTTAAGAATTTTTCCATTTCTTCTAGGTTGTCCAGTTTTTTGCCATGTAATTGTTCACATTAGCCTTTTAGGGTCCTTTGTATTTCTGTAGTATGAGTTGTAATGTCTCCTTTTTCATTTATAATTTTGTTGATTTGGGTCCTTTTTTTTCCTTGCTTAGTGTAGCTAAAGGTTTGTGAATTTTCCTACCTTTTCAAATAACCAGCTCTTAGTTTCGTTAATCTTTCCTGTTGTTTTGACTGCGTTTTTAAGAGATTACTCTGGTTGTTCTGTGAACAATGGTCTACAGTGGTGTCAGAATGGAGTCTGAGTCATTCTTGGAGTCAGGGAGACTGGTTAGGAGGCAAAGGCAAGAGATGAGGATGGCCTTGATCAGAGTAGTGGCAGTGGGAAATGGAGGATTAGAGAGATTTATGAGGTATAACAGGCAGTATGTTCTGTGTTAGTGTGCTTTTTTTGTAAAAGGGGGATAATTATGGTATTGCTGGGGTTGTGAAGATTAAGTGTGCTGAATACACAACATTTTTAGCTCAGTAAGTACTGGTATATAGTAAGCACCTAACAAATGTTATTTGTTATCATTGCTGTTATCATTACTACTGCTCTTTGGCTAGATGTGGAGAGTAAAGAAGTCAGGAATGACGGTGAGATTTCAGGCCCACATGACCTATGGATGCTGCTAAGATAAGGAACAATAGGAAAAGCAGGTTTAAGACGGGAGAAAGTTGATGGGTTCTGCTTTGGCAGTACTGGGGTGCAAGTGAGATGTCCATGGGTTAGGTGGTTGGAGGATGATCTTAACTGAAGATTCAGATTTTAGAGTCACCAGCATATAGAAGTAATTAAAGTTGGAGCGCCTGGGTGGCTCAGTTGGTTGAGCATCTAACTTCAGCTCAGGTCATGATCTCACGGTCTGTGAGTTCGAGCCTCGCATCGGGCTCTGTGCTGACAGCTCAGAGCCTGGGGCCTGCTTCAGATTCTGTGTCTCCCTCTCTCTCTGCCTCTCCCCAACTCATGCTCTCTCTCTCTCAAAAATAAATTTAAAAAACTTGAAAAAAAAAGAAGTAATTAAAGTTATATTGCTAGGATATCATTCAGGGAGAATATAGGAAGGGAGAAGAGAAGGATTTTTAGGGGAATCAGCATGTACAGGACTAGCAGAGGAAGAGGTGGCTGGGAAGGAATGGTACTTATTTCCTCTCTTTTTTTTTTTTCTCTCTTTCTTTTTTTTTTTCCTAATGGAAATGGAACAGGGGAAGTTAGGCAAATGGATAGGCAAACTGCATAAGGCAGAGATGATATCTGGTCTCCTCTCCTGTCCAAGCCTCTTCCATGACACCCGCTTGGCCTTTTCAGTCCCACGTCGTAATCCAAGCCTGTGTTTTCTAGTTGCAGCCCGTTAGCTTGGAATTTCCTTCCCTTTATTCTCTGTGCTGTTCAGGCCCTTGGGAAGCCTTCTTTGACCCTGCCGTGTCCATCTCTGCTCCAAGAGTATGTATGTGGCACTTGCACTGGGGGCCACCATGAGAGACTAGAGCTGATCTAGGCTCTAGAAACAAACTTTGGTTTAAATCCTGACTCTGTCACTTAATAGCTAGTTGTCTTTAAGGAGGCTCCAGTGTCCTCATTTATAAAATTGAGATATCAATACCTATTTCGTGGGTTGTTTAAACATTCCTGAAAATATGTGTAATGCCTGACGTATAGGAGACAACTCTGTAAGTTATTATGATTAACATTATTACATTACTTAGTTTAAAAATTTTACTTTGAAGTAATCTCCACATGCAACATGGGGATCGAACTCACAACTCCGAGATCAAGAGTTGCATGCTCTACTGACTGAGCCAGCCAGGTGCCCCAGATTAATTAGTTTTTTTATGTTGCTTTTCCACTAGATTGAGTGCCTTTTTTCCAGTATTCTTAATCATTGTAAGTGGTCAGTAAATTTTATCAAGCAATGGATGAATGGATTTCATAGGGATTAACATTATGCATACTGAGGTAGACATTTTGTTCATCATTTCTATTAACTTTTCTGTTTTGAGGTCTCGTTGGCTTGTCATTTTTACCATCTTCTTATTTACTACAATCCATTTTAACAGAATCTGGTAGCTCAGAGATCAAGAAACCTACATTTATGGATGAGGAAGTCCAAAACATACTCATCAAGATGACAGGCTTGAATCTGCAGAAGATTTTTCAACCAGCTGTACAAGAACTGAAGCCACCAACCTATAAGCTGATGACCCAGGCACAGTTGGAAGAAGTACGTGAATGCAGACATATGGGCAGGATACTTTTCTTTCAAGGGTTAAATTAGATTTCCAGAGGCCCCCTGGACGCTGAGAGCTGCTCTTCCATAGATGCTCATGATGGGAGTTCCAGGCACAGACTGAGAAGAGAAATGGGATCAGGCAGGCAGATAGGAGCAGGGAGTGTGGCTGAAATTAGGCAGACGGGGGGCACGTGGGTCAGGCCTGCGTGTCCAAGCAGAGCTCCTCCTCTGCTCCCAAACCGGCTCGAGTGTCTTTTCTTTGTCCTGCCTGCTTCAGCTTCTTTCCTCAGAAGCCTCCGCTGTGAGCTGCTTTGAAGCTGATGCTTTCGTGGGATTATGAGATCCTGCTGAAGCACATCCTACTCTAAGCTACCAGGGTCCTCCTGGAGTCATGCGTATTGAGTGCTTTGTGGAAAATGCTTTCATGTGTGAATATGTGAAGCATTATTGCCCATTACAGTCAGAGCAAAACATTCAGATATCCAATAGTATATCACATGAGTAAAAGGTCCCCTTTGAACTTCTCAGAGGTAATCATTGCTAACTGTGTGGCATGGAGCACTGTGGTCAGTGGTTAAGAGCGTGGGATTTGGAGTTGAGTTACCAGGGTTCAAGTCCCAGTGTTGCAACTTCTTAGCAATTTACTTAACATTTGTGTGCCTTTATTTTCTCTTCCATGGAATAACAGTGTCAGCTAGCTCATAAGGTAGTTGTGGGCATTAAATGAGCCAAATATTTTCAGAGTATGTAAACAATATATGGTACATAGTATGTACACAATAAATGAAATCCTTTCTTTAATTTTAAGCAGCGTTTGTGGTCCGGCTCAGTCTCCGAGCATCTTTTGCTGTGTCGAGAATGGTTGAGTCTGTAGGTGGTGCTCTCAGCCACTGTGGAGAGGCAAAAGCCAGGGTGCAGGGGCCTTTTCACTCACTGAATCGTGGCTACAGCTTCTTCTCTTCGCAGTCCTTGGCATTTTATATCAGTATCTGCTTTTGTCAGATGATCCTTCTTGTCTGTAACGTTGTAGCTTTCCTTAAGAAATGTGTTATTTCATTAGGCTACAAGAAAGGCAGTTGAGGCAGCTAAAGTACGATTAAAAATGCCACCGGTTCTGGAAGAACGAGCGCCAATAAATGACGTGTTAGCTGAAGATAAAATTTTGGAAGGAACGGAAACAGCCAAATATGTGTTTACTGATATATCGTATAGCATACCACACCGGGTGAGTATATATCTAACTGCAAAATGATCTTTATTTGAAATATGTGCGGTTGGACCTGAGGAACGAGGGTCGACATCACTGTGACCCAGCTGTCTCTGAATCTTCCAAACCAGAATTCCTGTGACTGGGTGAGACCCTTCCGGAAGATCCAGCCCAGCATAAGGAAGAAGAGAAATGCAGAGCAGTCCCACATCATCATGTTACCATTTCCCTACAGATTATGGACACAGTATATTCCAGACTGACTGCAGAGAAAGGTGTGCTGAGACAGAACGAGGGGTTTACAGACAGAAACCCACCCCTAAGCCACAAATAGGCAGAAATCTTCAAGGCAGTGGCAGAAGGGGATTCTTTCTGCCCAAGTTAGACTGACTTCCTAAGCTGAAACGTTTTTCTTTCCTGTAAATTCTTGAGGATGCCAGAAAAACCCAGACTGCCCAAAGGATATTCGCTCTTCAGAATTTGCAGCAAGAGTGACAGGTTTCCCCAGATAATTCTCAGATACCACTGCTTCTTCTTTTGTGGTTTTTATTCTCTAGCTCCTCTTCCCTTGATGACCAGTTCCAAAAGGGAACTGTGTTTGAGCCTTTTCAATTAAGAGTGAAACAAGAGCGATTTATAATTTAGCCCAAAAAATGCACTAGAGTACTACGTAACGCTATGGTTGGGGGAAGGGCCACACCACATTATTCTTTTTATCATATATGATTATGGTTAGAAGACATGATTCGAGCAGTGTCCATGTCTGTGTACATCAACTGCCTGTATGCCTGACCTGATGAACAAGGATCTCAGAGTTTCATTTTAATTAAAATTTTTGCTTTGGGCTGCTTTATTATACGTTTGCAGTGCTTTGAAGGCTGTTTATGGGAGCATTTTATAACTTGAGAGAGGAACTTAGAATTCAAATTACCTTAGTCCTTTTGAGAAATAATTGTGTTATTTAGGCATCTGCTATTTTTTTCTGTTTGCAGTACTTGATGAAAGTTTTTATTATCCTCAAAACACATTCAGAGACTCTCACATCTCTGAAAAGGTGAAAGTCAGTTAATTTAAACATTAATCAGATGTATATCAAGTATCTGCGATGTGCAAAGTTCTTTGTAAGTCACCGGGTATTGTGAAGAATTATAATCCATAGCTCCTGCCCATTTTAAGTTTTCTAACAGTATCTGAGCAGTGTCAGGAATCTTGCACATGATAAATTGCCCACTGAGTGGCACACACAGTGGGTGGAATTCAGAGGGAAGCCATCTCATGGCCTGGGATTTGGTAGTTGGAAAAGTGAAGAGGCCGGAAGCAGGGAGACAGTCTCTCTGACACATTTATGTCTCCTGTCACTATAAGGAATTACACAGGTGAGGAATTAAGACTCCACATTCTTGGGTTTGTTCCTTTTATCCCAGGGACTTTAGAAGTAGATCACAAAGTAAATAAAGTCTGTTTCAGTGAGACTTTGGAATGGGGAAATGAAACAGTTTGAAAGGTCTCATAGTACTTCTTTCCTCTGAAATGGATTTAGATGAATCTCTGATCAGTTTTTTTTAGTTGAATCATTTTATGTATTGAGCTCACTTTAGGACCATGGTTGGCACTTAGTAAATACGTTCATTTTAGATTTCTGATTGTCAGAGGCAGAGCAGTGATTAGTGAAGGAAGTATCAAATCTTGCCAAGTCTTCGAGGTTTAACATTATCATTGAAATCCTAGACCATTGCATTTTAGGTCTCCCAGTTGCATTTTATATTTTGATTGCAAATTATTCATATAATGGTGCTTAATGGAACACTGGAACTAAAAATAAGTCTTCAGAAACTCATTCTTGATTATGTTTTCTATTTCAGGAGCGTTTTATTGTTGTCAGAGAACCAAGTGGCACGCTACGGAAAGCCTCTTGGGAAGAACGGGACAGGATGATACAAGTTTATTTCCCAAAAGAAGGTCGTAGGGTTTTGACACCAGTAATTTTCAAGGAAGAAAATCTTAAGGTAAGGTGACTGTGCTTTCGTAGAGTCAGTGGTGATGGTTTCTTGGTTGAACATTGGCTCTGGTGCTGTAGAGCATTCTGCTTTGATAAGCACAGATATGCAGGGTTTTGTGTTTTTGTTGTTTTTTTCTTTAATTTAAATCCAAGTTCGTTAACATATAGTGTAGTATTGGTTTCAGGAATAGAATTTAGTGATTCATCACTTAAATATAACACCCAGTACTCATCCCAGCAAGTGTCCTCCTAATGCCTCTCACCTTTTTAGCATATCCTCCCACCCATCATCCCTCCATCAACCCTCAGTTTGTTCTCTGTATGTAAGGGTCCCTTATGGTTTGTCTCCCTCTCTGTTTTTATATTATTTTTGCTTCCCTTCCCTAATGTTCATCTGTTTTGTTTCTTAAATTCCACATGTGAGTTGAAATCACGTATTTGTCTTTGTCTGATTTATTTCACTTAGCATAATGTACTCGAGTTCCACCCACATTGTTGCAAATGGCAGGATTTCATTCTTTCTGATCACTGAGTAATATTCCATTGTATGTATACCACATTTTCTTTATCCATTCATCAGTCGGTGGACGTTTGGGCTCTTCCATAATTTGGCTATTGTTGATAGTGTTGTTACAGACATTGGGGAGCATGTGCCCCTTCGAATCAGCACTCCTGACAGATACGTGTTTCTAATGATGACTCCACCACTGTTATCAGTCTTGCAATTGGCTTAGCTGGGATTTGAATGTGGGTGTGAGTTGTGGAGCCTGTATTATCTCTGCCTACCTCTTACTGGGCACAGATGTGGATGAGTACATCTGTCATGGCATCAGGATGGGTGTTGAGCTTTCGTGTTTATCTCATCTAATTCCATCTGTGCTGTGTGGTTTTAGACCATGTACAGCCAGGACCGGCATGTTGATGTCCTCAATCTCTGTATTGCCCAGTTTGAGCCAGATTCTGCTGAATATATCAAAGTGAGTATATTTTATAATTTCTAAAGTATGGACTTAAGTATGGTTATGAGTAAGATTTATTCAAGGGAAAGAGAAATACCTGAACATTTATGGAGTACCTGAAGTATACCAGATGTTTTATCCTTACAGCAGCCCTTACAGATGAGAGAATTTAAGTTTGGAGAGTTGAGTACCTTGCTGGAAGTTGCACAGTTAGTAGGTGGTAGTTTAGGACCCAAACTTGAATAGGCAAAGCCTGTTTTCTTTTCATTTTATCATGCAGGAACAGAGTCGTTTGCTAAAATTTGCCAAAATGTCGTGTGTCTTACAGTTCAGTAAGTAATCACTTAGTGCCTTCCATGTGTGAGATAGTGTGGTGAGTAATATAGGCGAGGACATGAACTAAGATCGGGTGTGCTCTGTTAGAGCTGCAGTCTGGCATTGACTGTGGAGAAGGGTGCTAGATAAGTATGCAGATAATTATCACCTTGGGTTTAAGATGTTAGGTGCTAAGAGAAGATTACAAAGTGCTCTCAGGAAAGACTTCATAGGGGTCTTGACCAGGGTTCTAGAAGGGCAGGGAACACGGTGAAGTTGAGTGAGAAGAGGTGTTTCAGGCAGGGAGGGGGAACAGTGTGAAAAACAGGTAGGAAACAGTGTGCTTGCAAATGGCTAGTCATCTGGTTTGCTTGTACATACAGTGTGTATGGGAGGTGTTCAAGATGAAGCTAGAAAAGTAAATGGGGCCGTACTTGACCTCAGAGGCTAGACTCAAGAATCTGGACTTTAGTCAGAAGGCCTTTGAAAGCCTTTTGAACACAGAAATGCCCTATTTATCATATGCAAGATGAATCTGGAAGAACTGAAGGAACATTAGTTAGTAAGAATGGAGCAGTTGATGGGATAGGAGAAAAAGGGAGGAGTGAAAAAACATTCTTGATTTCTTTTCTTTTCCCCTAGTGACCAAGATAGTGGTGGTCTATTATTTCTAGCGGTCTCCAGCATATGTAATAGGTGCTTCGTGAGTAGTGCTTGGCTGCTGAAAAGTAATTGATCTGACTGTAAATGTGTGGCAAACCTGTTCCAGGCTGCCACACACTTCCACAGTGGAGGGCCAGTGTAAACCATACCTATTGGTTAATGATAGTGGAGGCGGGTATCAGTAGACCTGGTTTACTGATACCTTTTTGGGCAATGCTCATGTTAGTAAATGTGCATCCAGTAATCCTCACTTTTTATTTTCATGTTTCTGAAAAATTACATTTTGTGTGGATAGATTCATCATCAGACTTACGAAGATATAGATAAACATGGAAAGTATGACCTTTTACGCTCAACAAGACACTTTGGTGGAATGGCTTGGTATTTCGTAAATAAGAAAAAGATTGATGGTTTACTGATTGACCAGATTCAGAGAGATTTGTAAGTACAATCTTAGTAAGTAAAAGAAATTCTCACAACTATTATAGTAAATCTGTATTTAAGCTATTTTTCCCCATTGATGACAGTGTATTGTCCAATAATAAATACCTTTCATTTACCTCATTTGTTTATGGGTTTGTTCTTCCAGCACAACCCAGTTTTCTCAAGTCTTTGCTTTTGTGGTTTTTGTTTTTGTTTTAATGTTTATTTTTGAGAGACAGAGACAGAGCACAAGAGTGGGGAAGAGAGCGGCGAGGGGGGGGGAGGCAGGAAGCACGGAATCCAGAGCATAGGCTCCAGACTGTCAGCACAGAGTCCGACACGGGGCTCAAACTCACAGACTATGAGATCATGACCTGAGTCAAAGTCGGATGCTTAACCAACTGAGCCCCCTAGGCGCCCCTGCTTTTGTGTTGTTTAAACAAGGCTAGATTCTTTGAAAGATACGTGGTAGTGCATCTGTATTATATATCTTGGATACTGACTTATCCTGGGCCTCACCAGAGTTCCTGGGGACCAGTGAACTTTCCAGAGACTCAAAAAGGGATTAAATAGGAAATGTAAAGACATAAACTCTGACAGGTGCTTGTTTTCTGGGTGGGACTGGAGCTTTTCAGTAAAAGTCATCATTTAATTTATGAAAATACTGTTTTTAATGTCCCTTGCTTTTGCAAGACTTTTAAGATGTTGAAAAAATTAGTTTTCCAAAGTTGCATGAAACAAGGAATTTCTGTTGTATGTTTTTTTTAATGTTTATTTTTGAGAGCATGAGCAGGGGAGGGACAGAGAGAGGGAGACACAGAATCTGAAGCAGGCTCCAGGTTCTGAGCTGTCAGCACAGAGCCTGATGCGGGGCTCAAACCTGCGAACTGTGAGATCGTGACCTGAGCTGAAGTCATATGCTTAACCGACTGAGCCACCCAGGCGCCCCTGGAATATCTGTTGTATTTTAACATGCATGTATTTTAACTGGTGTGCTCCCAGGTTCTAGCTGAAACTGTACTTTACAGCTTGTGATGAAACTGTTGTTTTTGTATCAGTTGGATTAGAAATGCCAAGATGACAAGGAAAAGAAACCAGCATGGTTGTAGTAAGGTCAGTAGGCAGTCCTTGACTGACTCAAAAGTCTGAACTACAAGATGGTTATAGGGATTACTGCCACCTTCAGACCATGAGGAGCTTTGACTCAGAGTATCCTCCACGTAATCTCATCTAAGTCCTTCACATAAAGTTCCTAAGGCATTTGGAACTAGAAGGTGCCACAGGCATTCTTTAAGAAATACAGCCCATATTTGGAACCAGAGCACTATTTCTCATAGAAGCAGCATTCCTAATGGTTGATGACTTCAGGCCAGCCTACTTTACTAGCAAGTGTGTTGTAACCCAGTTCAGAGGGCAGACACATAACCTCATTCCACATAAGCAGGGGGCCGGTTGGCAGTGACATTTCCTGTGAACGAATTTTCTTATAAGGTTTTTAAGATGGAATCATTCTGAAATTTTTTTATTTTAAAGACATGTAACATTTTCGTAAAAAATGTGTAACTGAAAATCAAAGTTCTTTATCAAAATGTAGTAATATATATTATAGTAATAGTCATTACCGTATTTAAGCTTTACATTTGAAGCAGTTTACTTGTATACTGGGAGGGAGTTTTGAGTAATCTTTCCTGCTCCACATTAAGTAAAACCATTCTTGTGTGGTTTCTGACCCGGACAATGTGCTGCAAATCTCAGACCGGACAGTAGAGGGTGCACATCCTCACTGAATGAAACACTGGCAGAACTGGGATTCGGCTCATATTTATTACGGACTTAATTAAGTCCCAGTGTTGGTTTGTGGTTGAGATTCTTTTAAAATCTGTTTGAACATGGAAACTTATTTGCTCTTATTTTCAAATATGGCTAGGTGTTAAGCTAACTTGTTCAGTAAGATACAGGCATTATACTTTAGCATGAATGTAATAAAGCCCTAAATGGAATCTAAATATATATAGAAACCCATTTAAGCTCCTAACAGGACCACATGCCTAAGCTCTAAAGGGAATTCTTTTTTTTATTTGGGGAATTTTGTTGCCATGTTTATTGGACTTTGTTAGATTATAACAAGCAATACATTTGTAATGAACATGTTTGAATTTTTTTCCCTGGAAAGTTTTACTATATGAACAGCTCTGGTTTCTCATTTCTCCCAGAGGATGGCCTTGGAGTGGATGGGCCTTGGGATAAGCCTAGAGCATTTCTCTAAGGTCACCATGGCTTGAGAAATTCTTTAGTCTCACGATCACTCCACTCTTTATCCGCCAGCTTAGATGTAAAGCAGAGAAAATTAATGAGACGGCTGGGAGAAATACTGAATTAGGATGTCTTTTTCCTTCTACCCCCAACTGGAAGCCAGTACCTCACTAGTGTGCACAGCATAACCTCAAAAGCATAAGCATTTTAGAAAAGTTGTTACCTCCTCAGCTTTGAGGTGACAAATGGTGGGCAAGTGTTGACTATGTGAGAAGACAGTGACTGGTTTGGGGAAGGCTAAAGAGGTTTTTTTTGCTGATAGAAGTTGTCTATACTTTCTAAAAAGGTAAGTACAAACCAGAAGACTGAATTCTAGATTGCAAAAGTAGAACCTGACGTTCCTTCTGATTCAGGTGCACAATTTCAGATTGGCTTCACTAGGATGCTAATTTTTGACTAGTGGGTTCCTGTGAATAGATAGGTAGCCTGGGAGTCTTTCCTTGGACTCCTAGGAGGCCTCTTGTAAAGGCATTTTCCCACTAATTCAGAGTCTTAATGAAAATTTGTTAGCTGCCAATAAGTTCACTGCTAATGAACTTAAAGGCAAGTGGCTTTGAGCATCCCCTGACCACCAGCCTCCAGCTTATGTGGGAGGAAGGTAGTATTCCTGCCCTCTGAGTAACAGGACATTATTAGCTGCTGGTGAAGTGGGCTGGCCTGGCAGCCATCTACCATTAAGAATGCTGTTTCTATGAGAAGTAATGCTCCGTTTCCAAAAGGAATATAGTCACACTTAGAATATATTCACTTTCATAAATTGGGCACTCCCTGTACTGATTCCCGGCCTGCCTACCTCAGAGTAGAAATAAAGCCTAAATTGGCCCGTATTCTGAAAATGCCTTTGAAAGTATAAAACCTGAAGGCTTAAAAAATGTCTGGCCCGAGGAAAGTTTGAAGTGTAATTTAGTTTTAAGTTGGCACACATTTTTATAGAACTGTGAAGCAAATGAAGAAAACCCACTGACAGCAGTAATTCCTTTCACCCTAGACTGGATGATGCCACCAGCTTGGTCCAGCTGTATCACATGCTCCATCCAGATGGCCCGTCGGCTCAGGAGGCCAAGGAGCAGGCTGCTGAGGGAGTACATTTAATTAAGGTAAAGGGACTTTTTTCACCTGGCTGTTGTGTGGTGCTAATTGAGATGGGAAGAATTCTAAAGTGGGTCATATTTAATAGTAACTAAACATTTGTGATCTTGAAACAGTGACCAGAGTCCCATATTTCTTCAGCCTGGATAACAGAAACAGATGGGATGGGAGTGGAGGAGCTGCACACTCAAGTCCCAAGTAGTTCAGATAGTAGGGCAGCCGCCCCCTTGTTCTTTGAGGGGATCAAGTGATGAGCAGGGCAGTGTGGAGCAGGTAGCACGTGTTTCCAGTGTACCTTCCCGTCCTTCAGGGCGGTCACAATCCTGTCCAGAAGGGGAGAGGGTGGTGCCTGTATTATTACTAAGTCTTAGTTGCATTAGCACTTTGGAGCTGCCTCCCTCTCCCAACCATGGCCTTACACAGAGTTCTCTGTCACTGTATAATTTTCATCACTTCTAATGCTCAGAATAGACATGGTTTTGTGGATCTGGCTTCTCTCCCAATATTATTTTACCCATACTGCAAAGCAGTTCTAAGGATAAAAGTGACCAGTGATGGACCCCCTAGGAGGAGTAGAGAGAAACTATGGTACTAATTTTGGTTTTCTGTGATTGGTCAGGTAAAGCAAAATGCTTTTGGGGAAAATAAAGTGATTTTTTTTGAAATCTAATGATTTTCATTTTGACCTAGCAGGGGGTACAATGTCAGGTTTTAATTTTTTTCTGAAAACAGGCTAAGAGGCATGGCAACCATGTTAGAATTCTTCTGGTATTTAGAATTACTGTGGCTTGAACTGTACTGGATGTTATTTTTTGGTCCATGTAGTATGCTTATTTTATAATCAGAAAACAAAATTGTGAAACTTGGAAGACTTTTTAAACTGGGACTTTGCTAATGCAGAAATGGAAAACTATAAATAGTACATGTTCTATTGCTTAAGAGTTTCTTTTTTTAAATTTAAACAGGTCTTTGCAAAAACAGAAGCACAGAAGGGAGCATATATAGAATTAACACTACAAGCTTATCAAGAAGCATTCATTAGCCATTCTGCAGCTTCCTGAAAATATTTTTTTAAATAAATTTCATTTTACTTAAATTATAACTAGCTTTCTGTTAATGTTGAGCTGAATGTTTAAAAATGTCAAAATGAAAACTACAGATGGGAGTTACCAATAAAATTGTTTTTTAACAGTGCCTCTAACAAAAATACAAAGAAAATCTTGTTACTCCACTCATTTTCCTAGGCCACAGGGGGATAACTGAAGTATATCTGAGTGCCTGGTTATGAATTTCTCTCACCAGAGTGGATGGTGCAGTATAAAACAACAAAAAGGTACTTCTTTCTGTATTACCAACTAGGTAGTTTAAACAGAGCCCAGCTTAATGAGGTTTCTGGGTTTCAGATCCTGATTCTAGAAGCAGGTAGCTACTAGACAAAAATCAGGACATAATAATCCAAGTACTAAAAAGTTAGGGCAGGGGTAAGAGGATGAGATCAAGAAAAAAGGGTTAAGAGAATGTGGGCTGATCCCTAGGTGAGGTGTAGTTTTGGTTCAGCCTTCTAAAACTAGAAGCTTATCTTCATTATTTAGAAAGGAAACTTTCGAGTATTTTCATTAATTCAAAAGATTTTATGAGATGTGATCTAGTGACAGTATGAAAAAAAAAAATCAAAGCCCACATCTGTTTTACTTAACAGGAAGCAGTGATTTAGATGCGGCACATAAACTCCTAGAATGAGGAGAGCACTGTGCTCCCAGTGGGCCACAGCCTTTCCCTATAAAAAAATCTCAGGAGTTTCTTAGAGTCCAAAGAACTGTGGTCACGGTGGCAGTCAACACCTGTCCTTAATGGTTCACGGGAAACATTACACTTAGTCATCCAAAATATCTTCATCCAGGTTGATGTCTGTTGTGTCAATATCTTCTAATTCCAAATTATCCAGATCTTCTAGTTCGAGTAAACTCTGCAAAGAAAAGAGTTATTGGTAGGTAACTTTTTGAAAAGTTATCTGATTCCTGATCAAAAGAGAACCAAAGCAAGAGTCAAGAGGGGCATTTTCTCATTTCAAAGCCCCTGCTCTGAAAGTGATTATGTCATTGAAATGCAGAGGCCTGCACATCCTGTGGCCATTCATGAGGAGGGAGGAGTGAGCCTGGGGTTCCCATGGGAAGTCTGGGTATAATGTCCTACCTTTTCTTCTTTGTTGGCTGTGTGGGAGGTCACAATAACTGGAGTAGGAGAAGTAGGTTTCCCATTAAGTTCCTGAAAGCCCAAGTGGAGAGAATAGAAAGATGAAGGAATTTGTTCAGGTAATTTTCCCCCAAGGAAAGGCTGTTCAGGATTAGGAAGTGGGACATGGTACTTAAAATGAACAAATCTTAACCAGATTATCTGATTAAGATATTCTACTGACCTGCTGAGCTGCAGATCTTGAGGGCTGAAAGCCTTTTGCCTCTTCCATAACATTTCTTTCTTCATTTGGCTATCAGAATAAAGCAATGATGAATAAAGCAGTGTAATCTGAAGTCCTAATTCATCTATGGACTTGGCCTACATCCCAGATATTAGCTCTCAATCCACCAATAATGTATATAAATTATAAAAGAGGCCTGGCTCCCTGGCAACTCACCGTGACAAGTGGGTACTGCTTGGCCGGCCACAGATCAGCATGTGTTTCCTTCACCCATTCTTCCACAACAAAGGCTTCTTTTAATCCAGGAAAAAGGTTTTCGTACTCTGTTGGATCAGCAAGGGATTCTGCTGCTTTCTGATTGACTTTTGAAAGATTTTCTCTCCAGAGTTTTACCACCCTGTTGTAAGTATCATGAAACCAAAGGGAAAGTGAGTTAAGTGTGCTCTAGTTTTTATCTGAACCATTTGTTCCTGAAATTAAAAGTCTGTACCTTGAAACCTGACTAGGTAAGTAAGTCCGGGCCAGGAAGGCAGCTTCTGGCAGTCGGCCAGTTCTAATCAGGAGTTCCAGGCAAGCATCAAGCCTAAAGATTAAAAAGGAGAGGCACTAATTATCAAGAATAAACAACGAAGTGTAGATGTAGTGTTGCAAAGTCAGCACTTCCTCCCCAGCTTCCACACATACTCCTCATTTCTGTCACTGAGCCATTAATTGGTCAGCACCAGTGTGTTACATAATCAATGGACTCCCAAGAGTGTGAGGGGTAGGGCAGTTGGTGACCATTTTCAATCTCCTAATAACCTATTTTAACAATTCCTAAGAAGAATCTAAGGGGGCTTTTCAAGACCAGCTAAGCTTGCAGCTTATAAGCAAGCACATTTTAAGAGCTTTCAGGGGATATGGGAGCAGAAACTCGGTTTCACAAGTGGGAACATCGAGGGTGGTGTCTTGAGTGTGGGCTGTGTGCAGCAATGTAGTGATGTCCAGCCGGGCAATGTCCTAGTGTCTATTTGGTTTCTTTTTCGAAGTTTGATAAAGTGGATAATGTGTTTTAGAAGTCGTATGTTTTTGAAAAAAACAAAACACAGGTTTTTGGATATTAGAAAGGTAGCAGTACATATACCACACACATTACCTACCACCCTCAGCATCAAATAAAAGTCATAGACAATATTTTGCAGGAACACATGAATACTAAATATGATAAAAACAAGTGGCATAAGAACAACTAATAATAGTATTTCGGAGTTTAGGTCAGGTTTTGCTATCAAGTAAGTTATAAAAAACTTTCAGGATATTTTTGGGTTTTTGAATTATGGACCTATTCCTACACATATGCAAATTTACAAACATTATAAATACACATTGGGGTGCACAAGGTTTCTATAATGAAGCATGAGGTTTAAATGAATGCAGGGCAAGGTTAATGAATACTTCATGTTTTACTTCATAATATGGTCAGCTAATGTTGAGATGATCTGGTCTGCACTGACTGCTAAACTTTCAGAAGTATATGACATTTTTATGCTTTACAGTTGGGACTCAAATCTAGAAGTAAATGGCATCCTAAACCCCTTTATTCTTGCCATGGACAGGTCAGAATTACCCAATTTGGGCAAAATTACTTGCCTTTTGAGTACTATGGGAGCATCACAACAGCCTCCTGCCATGGGAAAATAAAATGGCTCAGGCAGGGAGAGGCAGGGCTTTTGAGAAACGGCTTTCACGTTTCTCTCAGTCCAAACCTCCTTGAACAGCTCATTTTGCTCAGACATTTCGACCAAATTGGTAACAACATCCCTTGCTGAAGGCCAGTGCCACCAAGGTAGGACTGTCCTCCAACTGCCCCTACTAGCCAGGGTCTAGGCCAGGCATCCATCCGTCTCTTTCCAGGGTTTGTTCCTCTCTCAACCACCCTCAAAGTCCGCGAGTGCGGAAATCAGTGCTTTAAATTACTACACTCACCTTTTAGACCTTGATTTGATACTTACTTGCCCTGTAAAAAGTAGCTCATGAATGCCACATTATTCTTGCCATCTCTCTCCGCACCCTCTGCTAGTTTATTCACCATACTAGCATTTCCAGAGGCGGTGGCCAAGAGCAACAGACCCCCGTAATCCTGTGCATGGTGCAGGCACTCCTGGGCGAGGCCAAACTGACATTTACTAATGGCAAGTTCAGCAAGTTGTTTCCACTTCTGCTCTGACTGTAAGAAAGAGTTTCCAAGTAAACACATCTATGGAAATAAACATTTGAGTTTTCAACATCAATATTCTTCTGTTAACCTGAGTATTACTGTGCTGATAATGGGAGATATTTTACACATATACTGAGGTGTGCTTATTAAATTGGTTCTATCAATCAAAATAAGAATGTAGTGACAAAATGTGTAATGAGAAAACAAGTTATTCGCATATACAAAATTCAAACACAAATCAATTTTAATGATGCATGAATAATCATCAAACCCATGTTATTTTTATTTTGTAATTACCCAGTAAAACTAAAAGTAATACTATCTAATTGGAATTTTAAGGTAATTAGATTGTAAGTATTTTAATGAATGATTTCGTACCATTTTTTGAAAGAATAAAATTATTTCATACATCCTTAAATATTTAACAGTAATATTATCTGTCATTTGTAGCTTCTCAGAAATCAAAATACTACACATTTAGATTATCTTAACATAGCTGAAATTTATTTAGCACATTTGAAATGAATTTACCAATAAACACTACATGTAAACCATGGTTGGGGGCCCCTCGATATGTAACAGTTCATTAAAATGTCATTAAATTGTGTCAAAATATTAAAATCTTTCTTTAAAACCAACAACTTTCTCACTAATTTGGGATACTGGCAAATTAGTGCTTTGTCTGCACTCCTAGAGTTCCCAGACTATAATATCTAATATCTTACATCTTTTGCAAAACAGATCTCATATAAGCTATGAAAACATTTTTTCCTCTTTTTTTTTTGAATGTTTATTTTTGAGAGAGCACAAGTGGGGGAGGGGCAGAGAAGGGGTGGGGTGGGGTGGGGTGGGGGGAGATAGGATTGGAAGCAGGCTCTGTGCTGACATGGGGCTCAAACTGAGGAACCACAAGATCATGACCTGAGCTGAAGTCAGACGCTCAACCAACTAAGCCACCCAGGTGCCCCCAAAACACTTCTTAAATCAGAATGCTAAGAATATCTGCAGTAAAATCCATTTAATTTAAAGACAAACAAAATGCATTTTTTAAAAGATCAAAGAGAGGCACTAACGTCACCAAAGAGTGTCACTAATGTACATTTCGGAAAACTTTAATGAAGAGAACTTACACTAAATACACGTAAGTACCTACTGACTTTTGCATTAGTTATGAAAAATCATGACTTAGTACATACCTCTGCTTCTACTGCTAATTGGTATGCAATTTTTAGTTCTCCAAGCTGAAGAGCAAGTTCAAAGCGATGCTCAGGATCTGTGGATACTGTAAGAGCTTGTTGCTTGAAGCCCTAAACAGAGAACAGATGTAACAATGTGTGGGCAGTCTGTATGTGTAGATTTACAGTGCACACACAGCAAATCATCATTGATCCACTCCCTCTTGAACTAAGAATACCCTGCTGACATAGAAACCCCATGGCCTAAACAAA